GCTGTATGAGAATGATGGAAACAATTGTGTCACCTCGCAGACCAAATTATACACAACACTCCTGTAACGCTTCTAATCTCTATCAAATGTATCTGATTTAGGATTATTTAAATTGGCTGAAATGTAATGTAGCGAACAGTGACTTAGCAACAAGGTCTTGAATTTTGTGTCTGGACTCAAAGCCATTGCCCTCTTTGGTGTAAGTACTTTGAATGAAAGTACTTATTTAGTTGGCGAGATACTGATTGTAAAAACAATCGCACAAAACTATGTAAGCAATATTTGCCTTGAGACCATATGGCATTTCTATGCCCAATCAATGTAAAAAGTTATAATAAAACGAATGAGACACCTAACAGTAAAAAAAATCCTCAAAGTCCGGAGATTCTGTGTTAATGATGACTGGAGCTACATTTTCTGAGGGAAAGAGATAAAAACACATGGCTCACTGTGGGCTTGGAGGGTAGGTTATGTCCTGGCAGTCATGCTGGTGTTTGGGATAAGGGTAGGTGTGTTTAAACTGCTGTGCATATTTCTTTCCACCACACGACCACTGATGGTCATCTCAACTGCAACGTTGTCATTGTCTGAACCGCGGGGTTTTCTCGGTTGTGTCCCGGAAACAGCAAAGTGATGTTTTCTTAAGTGTGTGATTTTAGGCATCAGACCTCAAAGGAAATTTTTGATGTCGAAACGACAAGCATTCCTGACTTTATCAAATTTTAAAAATTGTGAACTTGTTATGCAACTTTTAAGTGGAATCACAAAATTTTGCTTCAAATCTCTGCTAGGGTGACTCATTATTCAATAGTGATTTGCTCATAACATTAAGAAATGAGGAAGAGAAGTTGACTCAGTTGTGTTTCAGAGTTTATTTTTGGCCAGACTTCAGCTGACAATATCGGTAGGTTAATTTCCTGGCTGTCCGTCGTATCTTTGAATTCTTGTAACTGAAACCTTGTGCTGTTGTCAAAAAAAAATCAACATAAACCATTGATGAAAGTGAAAAAAACGGGAAAGGAACTGGTTTTTATCCATTGTCGCTAAAACAGCAGTCACACGTCACTGTGGTTGCTACTGCTTTCAGTTGTTCAAGTCAAAAGAAATTCTCATGCAAACGGTACCGCTGAGTTCACAAGGGGATTTTTTCAAATTAATTTTTTTATTTTTGTTCTTTATAAGAGCATCAGCTTGCATTAATACTTTTTAAACCGACGTTTATCGGAAACTTCAATACACGGTTCATAACTGTGGGACATTTTCAACTTGAACAACTTTTGACAGTTTTTTTTTATATATATATGATTAGCTCAGTTTAAGGGTATGTTTCTGCAGCTTTACTAGACATATCAATTAATATAAAGGTTATTGTGTGTGCTCTCTGAGATATTGTTTATAAGGCATCATGTTGCAGTGAGAATATTTGTTTGAATCATGTTTATGTTTTGCAGATGCAGCATCCAAAAGGAAGGATCAGCAGATATCGTAAATTTTATATGGAAATTGATGCATCTGCATGATCCCAAAACAGACTTTCAGATGACGAGGGCACCACATGACGAGTGAAGAATGAACTAAAAATATTCTTCAAACCAAAACGTAGAAACAAAGCAGTTGTGTTTTGAGGAAAGCAGCAGGTACAGCAGGGCAGCAAGTCATGCAGGCAAATACAAGGACACTGAGTTATTGCAGCAATGTTATGACTTCAGCAAATTGCCAAATGGTTGCATGTTAGTTGCTTTCACTTAGAAAACTGTGGGCACCTCAACTTGCATTTTATGAACATCCACATCAAACATTTTACTACTGAAAATAAATCATAAAACTTAAAATTTTGCAGCTTATAAGCACATTTTTGTTTTAAAATTAAGAATTTACTTAGAAACTGTTGAAACTACTTTGAATGATGAACTGCGCTTACTATAATGCTTAACATAATGTATGTATGGTAGAATTGAAAAGATTGTTTGTATGAAGTGCCTAGAGACTATATTTGTTGTGAATTGGCCATAAATAAATAAACTGAAGTGAAATTGAAATGAACTATCAGTGCATGCCACATTCATTATGTGATTAATAAATAGGCTCTTTTGGCTTGGGTGCTGGAAATTATTTATCAGATCAATCAGATTTTCTAAGCCTCCTATCTGAAACTTGGCAGGAACGAAATATGAAGTGTGATTTTCTACTGGAAACTAAATCAAAGCTGCAGCTACGACCTATTTTTAGCATTTGATATGATTGGTATGTACCTACAGACATAGCTATGGAACATATCTATTTGAGAGCATGTACATTGCGTATTTAAATGCATAAAATGGGGAGACATTTGTTTTCGGCTTTTCTTGATGTTAGTCGACAAAAGAAATGAAATGGCAAATTCAACCATTTTCCAAATTCTCCAATCTCCACAATGATGGAAATGACAAAATGTTGATAAATAACACAAAGTAACAAAATGAAGAGCACTTCTTTGTCCTAATCTATCAGCTTTGACTGGATAACAAACACCCTCGGTTGACATTAAAAGCACATCTCATTGGCTGTGATTTAAAGAAGGAAAAAGGGTTGAATCCTGTTGGATAGGTTAAAATGAGTTAAATATCCAAGATCAAGTTTATGTAATGATTCACTCATGTTAGAAAAAAAACAGTGGACTCAGTAAAAAAAAAGAAGAAAAAAAAATGAGATGACCTAATGTGTCTGACTTGTTACGTTTATAGATTTCAGTTCTGTGTTCGGTTTCCACCGACAGAAATCTCTGACATGCAGAAGAATGCCATTTGAGGTTCTCCCCCTCAGGTGACACAAACCTAGACTGAAAAAAACTGGGCTTCGTGGTAAAGAGTGGGAGGGAGATGATATTTTGATTTGCAAAGGGGATTTCAAACTACTTTATAACACATATTGACATTTGCCACAGCAGGGGAACTAAGATCGTTGCATCTGTAACTGAATCAGTGAAAATACCCTTCGCTAAAATTACATTTACACAAAACAATTGTTAAATGTTAAAGTTAAAGTGTGCTTGCGGTTCTTAGATCGTATCTGTGTTTGGGAATCCCCATTAAGGTCATGTTTCACCTCTGACCCCTGCTTTGTCCCTACATCAGTTTAGCCAAAGAATGGGAGTCCAAAAAGAGGTTGAGACTCTTGAAAACCGCTGAGAGGAGGGAACTTTGAGGAGAGGCTTGGGGTGAGGGGGAGAAGAAAAATCAGGCAGGTGTTTGGTTGAAAAGTGGGTGAGAACTACTGTGGTGCTCATGTATATTTTTGCATGGGTGTATATTTGAATGCGTGGTTGGAAAGCGATGAAACCAGACCAGCGTGATGGAAAGTCAAGCCAACGGCTAAGACAAACACAAGGGGGGCAGAGTGAAAAGAGGTGAGGGACGAGGGGGAGAGGAGTGATTACAGTGGAGGAGTGTTTTGTGTCAGGTTTACATCGGCTGTCATTAGGATGCTGACACTGACCAGCATTGACAGAGGTAGGGATCTGTTTACGCTAGAGTCCATTATCAAGTTTGCACAGCAGAGAATGCATCCATATTTTGCCCTCCAGAGCCCCCCCTCTTCCCCGTCATCCAGAAGAGGACAAAACCCGATCTGGAATCCGGATAAAGACGGTCTGTGGATTTCACAGGGATCTTTCACACACTCGGAAAACAGTGTGCTGTGTGTTTTCTTCATTATCATAATTGAGAGTGACTGGTAGGACCGTGGACTGGGAGGTGCTCAGCTCTCCCCCATCCAAGTAATCCTCATTTGCCAAATGAATAATTGAGAGGCGAGGCGCATTAGGCTCTGCTCCAGACTCCTGAGGGGCAGATGGGGTCAAACATGGTAGATAAATGCTGAGGGGTAAATGTGAAGCAAATGAAGCAGCTCTACCCAAGAGAAATAATCCCAAATAACCAAAAAAAAAAAAAAAAAAAGATCAAGCCCACTGATACTTGCTTCAAAGAGACACTATTCAAAGTTGACAAGAAGAATCCACCAGTATAGAATGAAATCAAAAATTTGATGTGCAAACACCATCAGACACAACTTATAGTAACTACGCTTTAGCCTTTGCCGTTTCTTTTTTGCACCCAGTGGACATAACATTTGCAATTAGCAATACAAGCTAATAGCATTTTAGAACTCAATAGTAAAAGCATCCATACACTTAAGGCCAGTTGTTTGTACACACTTGTGTTTGTATTATTGGGAGGGTCTCGTTTTTATTTCCAGCTCTCATATTTTTATGAGAGCTGAGGTACTTCCTGGACAGGTTGTCAGCCACGTGAACGACACACAGACTCCCATAAGTGCAAATCCAGGGTTTGCCGCTGCACCTGTCAGCCATATTGAATTTGGAGTTTTTCATCTTCAATTCTGACGTCAGTATTTATTTTTTCAATTTTAGTTTGTACAATGTTTTACTTCTAAATAACCTTTCCTGGTCTGTGCTATGTGTTAAGACCTGAGTTTTGAAAAGCCGTTGCTTAAATTTGTCATTAGGGCTTCCCATGTCTAAAACGATGCTCAACTCTTCCAGACTGCATGAGTTATGAACAATTTCTGTGGTGTTTAAAGCTTTGTATGTTTTTTTTGTTTGTTTTTTTGTTCCAGTTATTTAGACAACTGGTGAGTTGTGACTCTCAGACAATAACAAGAATTGCAGAACAAACAAGAAAATACAACAACAGGATAAATTTCCCCTGGTGGTGAATATATGTTTCCAGTGGAGATTGTGGTCTCCCCCATCCAAAAGCGTCTCAAAAAAAACAAAAAAAAAAGAACATTTGAGACACCTCTGAAATGTTTTACTAAGAAAAAAAAGTCTTCACGTCCCGCTTGCGTGCATAATCGCTTATTGTATCACTTCTGTGAAAATGTGCATTTGTAGACCTGACTCCTGAGTCACTTGTTGTGCTCTCAGAAGACCCCTACTGGTTTTGGGAACAGGCAGTGATTAGCTTGCTGATGTCTAGGGCCGGCTGTTCCCGTTTTGTTTGGCATACTTCTAAAAGAGTGGAGCGCGATAATGCCACGAGGCGGACACGCCATTGTCCTCTTGTCTGTTTTGCTCTGCCTCCAAGCGCTGTGTTGTTTCAGTGCGTATTTGGCTGCGCTGAGCTGAAGAGGAGAGGTTACTCAGAGTCATTGGAATCCCGGCACAATAGACACAGACCCCCCGCCTCTCCTGCCCGGGACTCCAGGTTGTGAACCCCACTGCAAGAGCTCTGGCCTCCATCATTCATCCACCCACCAGGCTCGGGGCTCTCGCTCCAACACAGGAGCTCTCAGTGCTGTTAAATGGCTCCCCTAAGAAGTAGCATAAACACCACCGTTCAGTCCAAGGCCACGGTTCACTCTGGAATGCACCACATCACAGCTCCTCGTAGAAAGCACTTTTTATCGCCTATCTCTCCCTCCCCTCGCTCGCTGCTCCCTCCCCTCTCGGAATAAACGCGTTGCCATGCCGTCGGCAGTCAGTGCAGTGGTTAAAACGCGCTCGTTCTCCTGTGATTTTGGTGCGTGATGTGTTCAGTCGGCAACGTCGGAGCGCGCGGGCTGAGCTGAGCGAGGCGGCTTCTCCGTTGTCCTTGTCCCCTCCCGGTTCCCCCTCGCTCCCTACTGCGGACTGAGACTTCCCACCCGGGGCAGCCGAGAGACAGAAGCGACGGCACACCTGGGAACTAGATGGAGGGACCTGAGCCGCAGCTGTCGCCGCAGTCCACCTTTCTCCCGTGGTCCGAGGGGGGAGGGCGCTTGTGAGCTCGTCTGAGTCGGGGTTTGGGAATACCTTTCCGGGATAAGAAGGTTAGTGTGTGAAAGACAATGTCCCGCGGCTCGCTCCGGCAGTCCCGGATATTGTTGGCGCGGCGGCGGACTCACAGAGCTCAGTGTCACCCGGTCCGCCCCCACCTCCACCTCCAGTAGCGGTTCAGGCTCTCGCGTCTCGGGCGTCCCGGAGTGTGAAGGATGACTTCCTGGCTACGCAGCCGTCCTCTGCGTGCCCTCCTGCTCTGCTGCGTGGCGCTCGTTGTCTGCGCAGAAGCCTCCGGCGGCGGTGAGTCCAGGCTCATTAAGAGCCAATTACATAATATCACAGCAATTAGTGCTATCATCTCAAACAGTCACTGCACCACGCAGTCTGTCGTCTCTGCAGGGGAGTGATAAAAACGTTCACATCTCTTGAAGATGTGAATTGAACACGTTTTAATTAAATCCCATTCAATTTTTGATGTCAACAGAAACAAGCTAAAGGCACTTTAAACGATTTCTCATGTCTATGTTGCTTTATGGGCTCCAATTCAGCCTGAGTTAAGTTCTTACCAATATAGATAGTGTAATCTCAGTCAAAATTCGTTTTCCAGTTACATTCAGTGCTATGTGATCTTAAATATTGTCCAGTACAGTCAGATTCAGTTGCTGAAATCATGTCATTTGGTGAAAAGTTGTCCACAGAACATACAAACTTAATACTGAAATGCAGCAAAAATGTGAAATAGAAAAAAAAGACATCTGAATTAAACGGAGATCCCTTAAAATCTGTAAAGAAAGAGTACAAGTTAGCAAAAAATTAAGCTGCTGCAATTACAATCAAGCTGAATTTCAGTAAAAACCCCACAGAGTCTCCACTGGACTCCTTTATGCTGAGCAAGCATGTGGTGACAGTGGAAAGGAAGAAGCTCCTGTTAAAGGGAAGAAACATCCTGCAGTCAGACTCAAAATCAGCAACCGTCTGCCCTGACTGAGTGACTGGGTGTTGAGTGGAGAAAACAGACACAGTAAAAGACAAACGCTCGCAGTACCGATTTTGTGTTGTGTCTCTGTTGAACAGAAGGAGAGGACATGGAGTTCATTCACGTTTGCTCCATCAGAAGCTTTATGTTCTGGAGAGAAACACAGATAAACAGAGTAAAGCCCAGGCAGAAGTACCATATATGGTCAACATGGTTAATGGAAGCTTTAGCCCCTTCAATGACTCTACAGAGATATGATAAGAGAAAATCTTCTGTGAAGAGAAAAACAACTGCGAGAGGACATAAAGATAATGGCAGCAAATAGGATGAGAAACTCCAGCAATTACTGTTCATTTCTGAATGGACTGGGCCAAGTCTGTCTAAATAAATTAAATGTACTGGTTTAAGTGTAAGAAATACTTCAAAATAGGTGACTTGTACACTCCTGGATGCTCAAACTGAACAAGGACAGTGTCTTGCCAAAGTTTAGTACAGTTTATTTCCGTTCTGACTGTGGGAGAAAATCCACACACAAATAGGAAAAAAGTGAAGGAAAAAAAACACCTGGACATAAGAAGAAAAAAAAAAAAACGGGTGGGTCAGATTTGCGTTACAAAAAATGGACTACTATCAGACAAAATCGCTTGGCCTCTATAGACTTATTTCGGCTGCTCACGGATACCTGAGCGGATATTCCCAAACTCTCAGCTGCAACAATCACATCAGCTGGAGGTGCGCAAACGAAAGTCTTCCAGAAAAGTAGGTCATTGTAGTTGTGAAAATAAAAGAAAAGCAACTTTCAAATTAGACTTTAAAGAAACGTATCAGCCAGAGACAGCCTGACCTGCTTCCCTTCGCCATCCATCATTTTGGTTGAACAGTTAAATCAATGAGGCGGGTTTAATTGCGGTCAAAGTGCTTAATTGGGTCAGAGCCTGTTAATGGGTCTGCTAGAGATGCTCAGACCCACATTCTTTCTCTGTCCCACATTACGGTTCTGTAACCAACATAAATGGCTCTGGGAAATTGGATTTTAGTTGGTAAATTGCTCCAATAAATCATTAACCCCACTACAGGAATGATGAGGTGAATGACGAGCCTTTCATCACTTTCTGTTCCAACATGCCTGTTTTCTTTCTTTTCCTTTCTTTCTTGTTTTCTTAAAAATACTGTCTAAAGCTACTTTGTGTGAGCGTGTGGGAACCACTCCAACCGCTCCGGCACCTGTTCCCACACTGCTGTACACTTGCTCATTTGTGCTGAATGGTGCCGAGTGGTTCTTCCCTCATCATGAGTGGATATGAGATCCTTAACGTCTGCACGGATTTCGCCCCATGACTAATGAGTATTGACTCGCACGTTTCCTTCATATGCTAATCGCAGATTCTTCTTTGCTCCTTTTTGTTTCCGTCTATCCGCAGGAGCCAGAGCGTGTTGGTCGCCCAGCGTCACCTCTTGCGCAGATTGCCTGCGACGTGGACCACAATGTGCTTGGTGTTTCCAGGAGGTGGGAATGTGTACACATGCGCGCGTGTGTGTGTGTGTGTGTGTGTGTGTATGTGCTCTTGTCCTTAACAGACAAAAAAGAAATAAAGCAAACAGTGGGAACGTGGCAGCCTTTCAGCAGCATTCCTTCAGATGACATGCACCAAAGCATTTGTGGCATTTGCAAATGAGAATATAATGTGTATGTTTGAGCCCAAAGCGGTCTGTGTTGTGTGACCTGTGTGAGCGCGTCAACCTCTGTGTGAACATTTTCTCAGAGACGGAGCCGCACTCTATCCGTGTGTTTAGTCTCTGTGCTCACGCATATCGCCGCATCTTCCCCTCTGTTTGTCTCTATCTGTCTTTTTCTGTCTCCCTGTCTTGTCTTTCTTGTAAAGAGCCCACCCCTGGACCAGCTCTGAGAAATTCCAAAACCTCCCAGTGCCACACCAGTTGCCACACACACACACACACACACATGCAGTGACATCACAGTAGAAGTATAATGTCAACAAGTGTGTGTTTGGGTGCTCCCATGCCAAATTTCTTCTGAATTCATGCTGTTGGGCCGAGAGCCTTCAAACATCGCCTCCGAAACCTCCTACAAGCTCACACAGCCATGCTCAGACAAGCACCAAAAACAAAGCGTCAGCGGCTTTTATGTAAATCCAAATTTGTGTTTACATAGGCAGTTACAACCCTAGCCCAGAAAGGAAAGTCCCAGGAAGTCTGTCAGAATCTTCGAGGCATTAAAGAGCTGGTCAGTGATAACTAAAAATAAACAAAAGTCAGTCTGGCTTTCAGGTTCAGCTCATGGTCATGAAGTTAGAAAGAGTGTCAACTCTTGTCATAGACCGTCAGACGCTTCGCTCCGGTGGGTTTTTCTGTCTTGCATTAGTAGAAATCCCCCAGTAATTAAGCCGCTCCACTACACGCCTGCACAATCTTGTTGGTCTTGTCACACGCTTGAAATCAGACCCACGGGAGGTTAATAACTCACTGTGAAGACACACACACACAGAAGTGAGGTTTTACAACTGTGTTGCCACTGTACTGCATTTCCATGCTTCAGTCAACAAGCCAAAGTACAAAATATTAGTAATCTGCTCCAAAGCTGCGAGTCGTGAAACTGTTGGGGTGTGCAGTCAAGACAGCTAACAATTAACCTCTCACCTTTTTTTGTTTTCAAAAGCTTAAGTAATTGTTTTATTTTTATGGAAACATGACAGATTACATATTAACTTGCAGTATTTCAAGAGGGGCAATTTAAGGGCTTAATACGTGGTCTGTGGTTTTCATGTCTAGTCCCTCTGTCTCAGATCAATACTAACAGAATAAAACATCTCGAAATAGAAAATGATACTAAGGTAAGTGATAGTAAAAGTGGTTTCAGTTTGCCATCACCAACGCACCTTGCAAACACCAAAGGTAAAGTGAAACCACATCCTGTTAACAGTGTGTTCATGAGCGATTACTGCTGTGAATGGAAACTGAGGAAAGACTGACAGAGAAAATGCAAACTTTTCCACTTCACTATGACAGCTTTTACTCCCGCTTAGTCAGATTACCCCGCATGTGGTTCTGTCAGTCCAGTCTTCCATCTTTGTATGTATCCATTGTCATACATAGGAAGCTCCACTAGGGAAACTCAAAAATAAATGTCCGCAGCGACACGCTCCTGCTCATTAAAGGAGATAATGTTCTGAAAGGTCTTTGCCTTTTGGCTTAGCTTGTTGTCCTTCAACAAATCAAATATTTACACATTGAATAGTCATAATGGATAAAAAAACCGAAACTTTTAAAAATCTTTGCACACATTTGGTGCCTAGGACTACCTGCACGGGGCTGAGCAGAGCCGTCGCTGCGATCTGCCAGACAACCTTCGCCAGAGAGGTTGCAGGCCTGAGTTCATGGAGCGGTCGGACGTCAAAGTGGAGGTCGATGCCACCCTGGACAGCACGCAAGTGTCCCCACGGAAAATCAGCATCACCCTCCGGCCAGGTACGCAAGCTGAAACTGTGGATTTTGTGTCTCATTTGAACCGAAGTCACTTCATGGTTTTCTCACCGTTTGTTGCGTGTCTGTGTGTCCAGGTTCAGAGGCCAGTTTTGTTGTTGCTGTGAAACAACTGGAGCGCTATCCTGTAGATCTCTACAACCTAGTGGATGTATCAGCCTCCATGGAGAAAAACCTTGATCATGTAGGCTTGTGGACTATCAGTCGTTGTTTTATCGCTGCTCTTGTATGGGGAAAAAAGTGATTCACTAAAATTTTGATTTAAAAACTGAGCTTACACAGATTCCTTAGAAAAAAAAATTAAAGAGGAACTAGGGAAAAAAATATTGTTCTACTCTTGTTCAGGGTTTTCCTTCCTCTTTGTCTACTTCATTTTTCTCTGTTGTTCGTTTTGATCCAATAATATCTCCTTCCTTATTCGCTTACGCTCGTTTCCTTCGTTTTTTCTGACCTGCAGCTCAAGACAGTGGGCGTCGCACTGTCCCTCCGGATGACGCAACATACCTCAGATCTTTGGCTGGGTTTTGGCTCATTTGTGGACAAGCCTGTCTCCCCTTTCATAAGTGTCCATCCCTCCAAGATCGACAACCCCTGCAGGTACAGAGGAGAATGTGTCATTTGTCCTATCTAGTATTGTCTGACTTCAAAATTTACCTCATTATCCCTCATTACATTCATATTTTCATGAGAAAAGGAGAGTCATGCAAGGAATTCAGTTATTAATTCCTTGCACCAAATCTCGGGGTGCATAATCTCTCTATGAAATATTTTGAAAAAGCACGTCTTAATTTGAGTACATTTGTTCAGTAGGAAAAGCATAAAGAGTTTGTGAAAGAGGCCATATTCTCCTAACGAACTCAATCCTCTGATTGAGTTCAAATAAATTAAATATTTTATTATGTTCTCAACTAAATGCCAAATTAAAAATGTCATGTCAAGGCACTTTACTAGAAAAGACACCTCCAAATTATGAATAGTTTTACTGATAATCCCAACAAAATCATGTTCATACTAACCAAATCAAATCATATAGACACATAAGATCCAATGTCCCTGTTTTAATTAACTTATTAGGTGTTATTGATGGACACTATATTTCTAAAAATTGTAAATAAAAACTTATCTCATTGAGTTTTTTTGTTGTTGTTGTTGTTGTTTTTGTCAGTGAGTACCAGATCAGCTGTCGTCCAGCCCACGGTTTTCACCATGTCCTCAGCATGACCGACAACATCAGCGAGTTCACGCGAGTGATGAAGCTCCAGCGCATCTCTGCGAACGTGGACACGCCCGAGGGAGGACTGGACGCCATGCTGCAGGCCGCTGTCTGCCAGGTGAATGAAGCACTGAGCCATCCGTCTGACACTGAGAGTGGCATTTGTGCTGGAACAATTGGAAGCATTCTGACTCAGCGCTGCGTGTTGCTGCAGGAATCCCGTTTAAGTAATGACACCACTGCACACAATCGCCGAGGCTCACAGAACGACTGCAGGGGGGCTTTGAGTCACATCATGTGAATAGGGGCAGCAGAAGGCAAGATTTCAGTCACCTCGGTGGTGGTCACGTTCAGAAATAGACTCTCCATTGCATCATGCATACTATAAACTCAGTCAGTTTTCCTAAATACACAAACGTGCACACATGGTCCCATTTTCTCACACTGTCTCTGATGATTCACAGACATGAAGAAAGAGCCACTATGACTGATAATGGAGGGAATTTCTGCTGCTTTTGCGTAAATTTGGCATTGCAGCGAGGCCCGATCATCGAGGAAACTAATGCAGTTCAGATGAATAAACTGCTTCAATATGCATTTTTTTCTTCAACCGCACTTGTAAATCCTTAAAATAAGAAGCCTGCAGAGTTTTCCACATCAGTTGTTGTGACTGTATTGATAAGGAGTGATTTAAGAGTTTTTAACAAAGGGGGAATTTTCCAGAAACAGAGCTGACATAGATTTGTGGCGGTATTTGTCATAAAGCAATCATGTTTCCAACAAAAAAGTCGGGGTGCAGTGTGTCATAACCCGCATACAGTCATGTATATGAGTTATCTTACATCCAATGCAGAGATTTCCTCCAAAGAGTTTCTTAATTCTGGCGATGTGACTGAATATCACCTCTTTTTCTTGTTCTCTGGCAGCGTGCTGTTGGTTGGCGGCCAGAGGCAAAGCGCCTCTTGCTCCTGATGACAGATCAGTCGTCTCACCTCGCACTGGACAGCAAGGTGGCTGGGATCGTGACGCCGCATGACGGCCGGTGTCACCTGGACAACAACATTTACACTGGAAGCACAAAGATGGTGGGAATGTCATTTTTTAAAATTTGTAAATCTGAATCTTTAATTGCATTTTGCTTCACCAGGATCACGGGTAAAATTCATGCAAACATCTCCTTCACAGGACCATCCCAGTTTAGGTCTACTGTCAGACAAGCTGCTTGAAAACCATATCTACCCCATCTTCGCTGTGGACAACACGCAGTACCAGTGGTATGAGGTAATGAATGAATCTATACCATTTACTTGTTTCTATTTTGATGAAAGAAATTGCATGTATCCATAATGAAAGCACCTTATCAGATTCAGACTATAAGATTTGGATAAGAAATGACTTTCAGCTATGTTTCCTTCTTTAGGAGTTGGTGAAGCTGCTGCCTGGATCGATCCTGGGAAAATTGGGCCTCTTTCAGGCACCGAACCTTATAGATCTGGTGGTAGATGCGTACAAGGTAAAATCATCCACCTGCGGTTTCTCTTCGAAAATCCCTTTCTTCTTTCATTCATGAAAGGAAGGTGCGAGTGCCATAGAGAAGCGCAAGAGCTTCACATTAGAAAAGCTTTTGTGATGCCTGTATTGTTTTCATCGACTCACATTTCAGAGCGTGGGAAATCCGACAAAGGGAGAAGTTTGTGGTTTTGTCTGGGCAGAAAACAAAATAAAAAATAAAAGACATAAGAAGAAGAGGTTAAAACATGGTTGACCTTGTGTGGGTGGGTGTGTGTGTGCGTGCGTGTGTGCGTGTGTGTGTGTGTGAGAGAGTCTATATGTATAGGAGACTAGGAGGCTCAACTGCCAGCAGCCTCTGGGCTATAAGCTCGCCTGCGGCAAAGCAGGCTATTGTTTGCTCAGAGAATCTGCCGAATCCACAGATCTGGGTGTTCTGTGATGCATTCAGGCACACACACACACACACATGCCCTCACGCGCACATACACACACACACACGAGCAGTGATGCCTGAACAGAAGCTTCCATTATAAAAGATCCCTACGGAAACCATGTGTCCTAATCTCGGACAGACACAAAGATGCTATTTTTAGCCCCACCTCCATGTCCTCAGAAGTCTTTTAATGAGATGGAAAGCAAGGAAGGAAAAAAATTAAAATAAATAAGGACGCTTTCACAGTTTGTTTCTTTCATCTGAACCTTGATTTAAATGATCAAATTAACTTTGATTATTGAACTTCGGACCTTAACCTAACGCTGCCGGTTGATCTGTTTTTGTTCTCCGCAGAAACTGTTGTCTGAGGTGGCGGTGTCAGTGTCAGTGGAGGACAAGGCAGTCAGCAGGTACTGGGTGTCTGTTTCTCCTTTTTGTCCCCGCGGATCCACTGCCAAGGACCAGAGCTGCTCAGGGGTGCAGCCAGGCCAGACGGTAAACACTAAAAAACAAGCCATTGTCATGTACTTAAAGAAAAAATTATAAAAAGAGGCATCCGGAGAGAGCGTTAGACATATCGGATTGGCACATACAAACACATCACTGAGAGCCTTACACGACAGAGGAGATTTGGTAAATAATCCGAGTTGAGCGGATTACAGTATGTATTTAACAGAAAAACATTCCCATGTGATTCTATGACCTTTTTTTTATGATAACCCTTACCTTGCTCAATATGAGAGCATTAATGTTGGCAGGTAGAACATTTATGTTTACAGTTACCGGTTCCAACACCTGCTCAGAAAGCTCCTTTCAGTACTTTACTACAGCACTCTGCTGCAGTAGTTTTGAATGCTACTGTCAGAAGAAAAAAACTAACTTGTATATCCACTGAGAAATCTCCTGTTCTTCTACTTGCTCCCTAAGATTTGTTCCCACCAAAAGATTTGGTGTTCTCTGTCTAACACCGAGGTGCTTACTCACATAATTAGTCCTTTGTGCACAAATTAATGCCAAGCATTTTCAACCATGGGTGGATTACACTGTATTAGGGAAAGTACCGAAATTTACCAGAAGATTGATGAAAATCAAGAGAGGCTGACTGTATATTCCAATCTTTTTGTAATCTCAACAGTAGTATAATTATTCTGAGTTCCACTTTTACTGTAGTTGGGTTTTATTAAAGACTTCCAGTCACTGAAGCATTGGTTGTACACTGTGCTAAACATCCTGTATTCCGAATAATCTTCAGCCAAAATCAACAAGGGAAAGTTTTGTGCTGTCCTGAATCAGCTTGTATATGGGCTTACTTTGTTAACTGAACATTAGACCCGATTCTGTGCTGCAAAAAAACAAAAGAGTTTGCACATTTACGTTTCATTACATAATTATTCCAGGTTTACAGTGAAACTGAATTGGTGTGTAGGTCCAAATGAGCATCAGCAGACAACATTCAACATGTTCACAGTCGGAGTGCTAAGATGTTTATCCAATAAATCATTCAACAAAACAACTTTATCCACAAGGATATTAAAGTTAGAATTCCCAAAATGCATCGTTATGTTTTATATTTTGTTATGTTGTCCAGAATTGTGTTGTTTTACACCTATATAATATTGTGTCACATCATATCATAGCACATAGCATCATATTTTCATATTTTAATAAGTCACAGTGTTTTATCACTTGTGTTGTCTCTCGTGTGGGCTGCACAGTGGTGCAGGTGTTAGCACTGATGTATTGCCTAAAGAAGATCCATCCATCCATTATCTGTTCATATCCATAGTGGGGTCAGGGGTTGCTGGTGCCTATCTCCAGCTGCGTTCCGGGCGAGAGGCGGGGTTCACCCTGGACAGATCGCCAGTCTGTTGCAGGGCAACATAGAAACAAACAGGACAAACAACCATGCACACACACACACACTGTTCATTTTGTTGACCCAATCCTGTTTGCGTGTTGTCTGTAGATTTGGTTTGTGTGAGCGTTCAGCCGTTAGAAACCCTGAGTCATCTTTCATGTATCTGCTGAATCATCAGCAGCCCTCAAATCAATCTGTGCTTCTTCTCCTGCTCTGTGGTTTGTAAGTAAACTTACAGGGCACCCAGACCTTCATTTATGATGCCTTTCTTAAAGTACTCCCACACTCTATATTGCTACTGGCTTTTAGAATATTGAAAAACATACATAACTCAATTCCTTTAGTGAGCAATCAGACAACTGAACTTCATTCAGATATTGTTGAGCCAGCAAATAGTAAATTGATGGATGTTACTTTTTCCTGCAGGTGTACTTTAATATCACCGTTGGCCAACACTCCTGTCCTGATGATGGTGAAGATGAAGATGTGAGGATGTTGGTGCATCCGGTGGGCTACAATGAGTCCACTGTGATCAGCATCCGCTCTAAATGTCAGTGCAAATGTGGACCAACAGGTCATTGTGATGGCACCGACCAGTCACCCTGCAGGGAAAGCCATCGCGGTGCCAGTCAAGAGCAAAGGCCAGATCACGGACATATGAAAGACTCGAGCGCAGATCCAAATAGAAGCTGCAAAGCAGAGGGGTCAAATGTGAACTGCAGCGGGCGGGGAGTGTGCGAGTGCGGCAAATGTGTGTGTGAGCAAAGCAGGCTTGGGACGGTATACGGGAAATACTGTGAAATGGATGACTTCTCCTGCCCATATGAGAAGGGACAGCTGTGTGGAGGTAAGGTTGAAAAACATTTCATTTAATTTCCAGTTGAATGACAAATACTTTAATGCCCCTGGGTTCTTATTGCGACTCTTTTTTTTTTTTTTAATTTCAGGCCGAGGTGTGTGTGTGTCAGGCGAGTGTGTGTGCGAGGTCGGCTGGACAGGTGACAGTTGCAGCTGTCCCACCTCCATAACCAGCTGTCAATCTGCAGATGGCTTGCTTTGCAGTGGCTGTGGAAAGTGTGTGTGCGGCAAGTGTGTGTGTACTGATCCCCAACGATCTGGAGACTTCTGTGAGAGATGTCCCACCTGCCAAGACATCCGAAAATCCTCCTGGTACTCAATCAATTACTACTTATACCCTAAATGCACAAAATAAACTCCTGTAGCATTTTTTTTTCCCAAACTGTTTTAGCATTGACTTGGTGATTTGTCTGTTTTCAAAGATTTTTTCTCTTTCTCTTAGTAAGAGTGTGGACTGCCATCATTCTCAAGGTCTCTCCCAAAAAGAGGCGGAGCTATGCAACACCACCTGCGCTCTTCATATCGGCTCCAAAACAGATTTTTCAGGTACAGCAAGTAGAAACTTGGATTGTGGAGAAATGTTTAATTCCGACATGCTAACGAAAATGAACATATTTTAAGTTGAGATCAGTCCCCATCGGTTTATTTAGCGGTGCAGCTCAGCACAGCAAAGACAACTTAGAATTTTCCCTCATATTTCTATAAATAGCCTAAGATGGGCTAAAAGAAGAAGTTGGTGCCACACAATAATTGTGTTGCAAAGTCATGACAAAACTCAAATAACTGTGGATTGGGTAGTTGTTACTCTGTGCACATTGGGACGTTTTTTTGTTTTTGTTTTTTTTTTTCGAAGCTAGAAAGCTGCAGTGTCAAGTTACTGTGTCAGAACAATCCTAAAACTCTGAGGACTTCATGGACTTAAAGCTATTTTATGTTCTCCTCATGTGTTGTGCTTATTGGCTTTTCTGAACACACAGCTCAGTGGGACGATGTTCTGAGATTGACCTGGATAGAGCAGTAATGTTTTGTGTGCACACATTTCAAAAGATTTCCTATCTGACTGGCCTTCCTCCTGATATTATGAAAAACAACAGATTCCATACTTGCATCTGGAGCTATTGAACCATAGTCACAAAACTTGCACAAAGCTTCTGGACATACATGGATCATAAAATAAAAAATAAAAATACAGTGACTAACAATAAGCTGTCATGCTGGAATTGAATTCAAGATAATGCTGGTGAGAAAAAGTATAATTCTTTGTATCAATTTCCCAAACCAAAATCAATCATTGCTTATATGGACACAGAAGAAAGAGTTCTGCTGCAGACTTAATAAGTAAGGTTTTTATAGGTGTTGTATCACAGATCTGAAGTAAACAGGAAGCATGAATTGCAAAAATGAATGAAAATAAAAAGGACAAGCCGTATGTTTCTGATGAAATACTTTAAATTAACAGACTTAATTTAAATTAAAAAATACTTTATTTATCCCAAAGGGAAGTTAAATGTTGTAACTTGGGCACTAGGTGGCTCAGTGGGCATGATCGATGTAAGAGATCATTTGAACTTTCTGCTCTTTGGTGGTGCTCTGCATCCATAAAGCATCATTTTCAACTCATCTGGTATTGGGGTCATATCACTTGAGCTTTTGAGATGCTAATCAGCTGCTCCCAGTTGTGAAAACAGTACCTTGTTGCTACGGTTATTCATTATACCGACTTTCCGTGAAATAAAAAAATGCGAGAGCAAAAATCCTTGACCTTGACCAAAATCCAGAGGGAATGGCTGTTCAAAATCACAATGCCTCGGGACAGAAAAATTTACTAACAAAAGTTCACGAAGAGAACGAATCAAAACTAACGTCACAGAGTCACTCGGACCATGAGCAGCGCAGTCCTCAAGCCAATATAGGCGCAGTCTTACTGGAGCAACTCTGGCTGCCCTTCACTCTCGGAAGGATTTTAACGCAATTTGGAAAATAATGTGGACTCCATCATTCTACAATGAAAAATATCTCTCCCAAGTGAAAAACATTCAAGGAAGCTGCCAGTCTTTCCAGAGGTGGATATCCGTACGAGTTCATCCAGAGGTCGAACAGTGGAATGCAAATAGATGTTATAAAAGAGCTACGTGTCGGAGCTACAGATTGGACATGAAATCCAAAAGTGCACAGATGTTTGAGTGGTTTTACAGAAGAAAACAACCAGCTTCTACACCAGTTCTTTACATGGACATCACCAAATTAGAGATGTTTGGCCTCAACACAGAGTGCTGAGCTCAGCCTAAACACATCGCATCATCTCAGCACAAATGTGTGACATTAGCTGCCAAGCACAGTGGTGGAAGAATGATAATTTGGGGCTTGCTTTGGTGCAGCGTGACCTAGATAATTTCAGGTATTCTCAGTCTAATTCGAATGTTGTAAATTGCCATTTGCAACACTGGATTCAATTTAATTCAAAAATATGTCAATGATCCCCAGGTGATAATTAAAGATTATTACCCATCATGACTCCATTTATCACGCAAAGGCCTGTCACAATAATCAGTAACTCAGATGAATTAAAACAAGCTCAGTAATTTTCATTGGCATGATTTTTGTTTCATTAAGAATGAATCATTCTTGCCTTAAAGACATCAACTCTAAGGGATCGTTAAAATATCTCTTTGGGACTCTTTAGTGTGTCCCAACTATCTTTATTTATTACCTCATCTAATATGAGGCACTGAAATTTTAAAGTGAATGAATGCTAATTTAAGCTACATTTGCTAAAGAGGAGCTATTATCAGTATCTCCAGTATTATCAAGATAATGAAATCCATTGTTTATTTAGTTTTTCAAAACTGTTGTCTTTTTCTAAGCATTTTTATATACCATGACTTTCAAATTGACTTCAGGCTTGTTCTTGGTCTGAATCTTTAACATGTCTGAGATTTGGATTTGTTCGGTAATGACAGCTGTCAGTATCAGTTTCAGATCAACTCGCACTCCGGTCAGGCTCAGCTTCACATTCGCAAAAGACCAGAACAATGTAAACACACACACACACACATGCTTTCCTGCGAGGTCACTTCCGTTGCTACCACGGCTGCTTCAGTACACCCTGGTGGATTGGAGTCAGCAGGCCGGCTGTCAGTGCTACAGCTGTATTTTACATTTTCTTTCAGTCCCTACCTCACTTTGTTAGTTTCTCATGCACAAACACACACCTAATCTGCACCGGCATGCGGGCGCGCACGGTGTTGCACATCCAAGTGTTACAGTTCATCCCCGCCTTCCAAATTTTTGGAACAGGACTGTTCATTGTGCGTCCCTCTCTCCCCCCCCCACCCCCCTATTTTTTCCCCTGCCCGACGGGACACTTTCTTCCCGTTCACACCCACTGCTCCCCGGGTGCAGCAGGAACCAGGTCTCTATGGAAACACAGTTACAAAATGTCAGAGCGCTCTTTGGACTCTTTGTTTGGAGCGATCAGCTCGTCATCCGCACATGCTCCCCAGCAGACACACAGCCAGCGAAATGTTCAGCTAAGCACCACTGGCACAGCTGCCTCTGACTGAGCAGTGTGTGTGTGTGTGTGTGTGTGTGTGTGTGTGTGTGTGTGTGTGTGTGTGTGTGTGTGTGTGTGGGTGGGTGTGTGTGTGTGTGTGTGTGTGTGTGCGTGTGTGTGGTTCTAGTTGCAGATCGTGTGTTTAGTGAATCATTAAGGATTTATTTCACTTATTCAAAAGCTCACAAAAATGTACTAATTTACATGCAAGGGTAACACGAATTATTCATTTGTCTTCATGAAATGTATGATCCAGATGCACATATATATGAATAGATGTGCTCTGGGATATTTATGCTGCATCTTATCTGCATAAGATGCAACATAATGCATGTTCTTCTCGTACTTTTTATAAAAATAATGCTTTTGCCTAACAGAATCCGTTTTAATCTAGAGATAATCAGAAGCAGTGGAATACAAGGCTTTTTGTTTTACTTATTTGTTAGACTTTCACAGCTAAGAACACTGAACCAGCTGTTTACTATGGTGGTGGTAGATCATGCTTTGGGTCTGCTGAGCTAAGCATTTAAAAGGCTTTAAATGGATTTGAAAATGGTTCAGAAATAGTGTCTTCTTTGGGATAAAAGGCACGAACTGTTTAAAGCAGTGAAGAGGAAGAGGAAAAAATAACATAGCAAAATATGATCTCTTGAAGTTGATATTTGAGCACTAAATCTCTCTTGGACTAATCACTTGTAGTTGTTATGGAGCAAAGAGGTTGTAAAGCATGAAAGAACTGAAGCTATTTTCAAATATAACTTTTCTCAGAAGTATAATGAGGAATTTCTAACCTTGTAGATATTCTGAATCAAGCAAGTTATGAAGCTATAAAGCAAAATGCTGTCTAAAGTTTAAATACTCTGAATAGTTTAAATGTCATATTGGTTTGGGGTTCCGTTTCAATGAGTTTTAAAAGCAACTAGCTCTTTGCAAGTTTACATTTCAGAGGTCTTCCTTTATCCAAACAAGTTTGAAAGTATGTGCGCAGGGTCAAATGTATGCACACATGCCATTTAATATTTGGATAAATGCTCCCCCTCCAAGAAAGTTTTGGGAAATCCCTGCACCATTTCTCATTGTCCATACATTTAGAAAAACGGTTTGGTGTGAATTTTTCCAGTACTGTTACTTCAAGTTGCATTTTGCTTTCTCTACTCCAAAACCAGTTCTGCTGTGTATTTTGGGATAATTTTCTAGCTGAACACCGTGTTAAAGTTGACCGGATGTTTGGCAACAACCCAGAAATCACTAAGGCTCAAGCCTGTCATAAACTGGAATAATTCTGGATATTTCCTTATTTCCAGAAACCAACAAGTTTCTGAAATCATTCGGGAATAATTCTGGATACAAATATCCAGAATTATTTCTGGATATTTTATTTAATTCTGGATACAAATATCCAGAATTATTCCCGAATGATTTCAGAAACTTGTTGGTGGGTACAAAAAGTGTTTGTTTTCTCTGCAACTTGGAAAGGGACATTAAACCAAGTATTAGTATGGGTGTTAATCTAATCCTGTTTGGATCAGTGAAAAAAGTCCAGCAGTAATTCAACCATGTTCACACTGTTATTGGTTGTAAAGTTCATCAAATAGTCATGGAAAAAGAGAACATTATTAAAAGATCAAACTTACTGAGACTCATTTCCTGAAATTGTAAGTATAGCTATACAGTGTATGCATTTAAAGGCCATTGAGGAATGCATTTAATCTTTTTGCTAGTACTAGATCATTACAGCGAAGTCATTTGAATGTCAATGTGCTGCCGTGTTCTTCCACAGAACGAGTCAGCAGTGGGCGGCTGGTTGGAACTTTCCTGTGTGTGTGCGCCCTGACGGTGCTGTGTGGACTCGTGGTGGTGGCCGTGTCCCGGTTGCTGCTGCAGAAGAGAGGCATGCCACGAGGGGGCGCTGGTGCAGATTTAGGCTACCATTGCACTGGAAAGGTCAGTGCTCAACTGTCATCTCATGCGCACCGCAGGATTTTAATTGAGGGGAAGCCCTATGTCCCTCGAGTCCTTCAATCCAGAGAAAATGTATGTTAACGAGTTTTTCTCTACTGAAGACTGAGAAATTTGAGTCAGCTCTGTGGGGCACAGCTGTTTTTAACATTTCCTCCCAACTCCCTGCTCAACATCTAAAATTCCCAGATTTTTGACCTTACACTGACATACAGCACCTTTGAGGAGCAAGAGCTTGAAGAAATATGGAGATGCAGAAGATATGTGTTGTTTGGATGTGTGGGCTTAAATTGCTCACCCGGGCTCAGGGGAGATTTGAATCATCATGTGTATACCTCATAACAAAACTGCAAAACAGCTTAATGGAGCTCTCTGCGTTGGCCCTTTAATGCATATACTTGTTTTGGTAATATTTGAAACCTCAATTTGTTATTTTAATGTTAAGTTGCTCTCCAGGGGAGTTTAATTCACAGCACTGACGGTGTGTTAAGATTTACTCACTTCTGTATTTTAAAATACAGAAAATAGATGTTCTGAAAGTTGCCCAAGCCAACCTCAACGAGGCTGCTGTTGAGTACACAGAGAATCTACATCTCATGTTTTTATTTAAAAAAAACATACGACTAAGCCTCTGAAACTCAGACGGCAAAAGCTTCAAACAGGAAGTTAAAAAGGTTGTTTCATTATTTGCTCCATTTTGCATAACTCTTTGAGAGCAGTGCAACACTTGATACCAGATACCTACATGCACTGTGTAAAAAAAATGCTTGTGAAGATTCAACATTAAACCGGTTCTATACCAACATGTGCTGACCCTTCACTCATAGATAAAGGCATTACTTCAAAAGCAACATTAAAAACTCAGATTACAGTAGAAAAAAATGCAGAGGCGACATCTACATTTTTGCAGGAGGAATTGCTCCACTTTACATGATAGAAAGCATCATGAAGAAATGACATTTGGTGGAATTGTTACAGCAAAATCTCAGCCAAGAAGTGTAAACCTGGGCACAGATATGTCTTCAAAGAGGACAAGCATACTGCCAAATGAATCACAAAGCATTTTAAGAGCAACTCAGTTTAGAGTTGTCCTCACAAATTCCTGATCTTTATATTTGTTGAAGGATTTGTGTGAATATAGAGTCTGCAAACTTTTACTCTGCTGCACCACTTCTGACACGAGGAATGGAGCAACATTCCAACTACTGTGAGAAGTTTATAGAAAATACCCAAAGTGTTTGACCCAAGCCATGCAGTTTAAAAAGCCATTGTACCAAATACTAAGTATGTCTTTGCAATCCTGTCTGACCTAAAAATTGAAAACTATAATCTGATTTAAAATCAGTGGGAAAAAACACTCACTGTTTTCTACTGGAGTGTGTTGAAATATTCGACTACAGCTATATATTTTTACCAGGTAGTTATCTCTTGGTATTGTATATATAATATAATACATATAATTAAAAAGCTCATATTTTAGTCAATTTTTATGCTGGAATGGCTCAATTGAGGTCCACTTGTGGTAGAACTGATGTTTGTAGATGACCTTCATTCAATCTGACTGACCAGGAACAACTTTGTACAACAGAACAGGCAAAGCAAATCTTGTGGTTGTACCGTCACAAAATGAAAAGGTTTAAGGCTCACCAATACCTTTAAAAGGCACTGATTGTTTTGCTGGAATGTTTGACTTTTGCTAACAGTGTGTTTCTGTCATCTGGCAGGATCTCTCATATATTCCTACAACCAATGAGAAAACAGTGACCTACAGGAGGGACCGTCCGCCTGACCAACCCGTGGAGATGCGCATTCAGGTTCCCAAGATGTCTCTTGATGATCACTGGCAGTTCTAACCAGGGCACAAATGTTGAAGTCTGAAGGAAGAGATAGAAAGAAGAAGAGCTGGACTAGAAACTTCTTTTCTGCTCCCTACACTCCCAGACATCAAGAAAACCGTATCTGAAGGACAAGATGATGCTAAGCTTGACTCCAAAACCTCAATGGAATTAGACTCTTTGAACTGAACTAACCAAACCGAGGGAGACTTTTTGACTACAGTGGCCAGTATCTTTTGAATGAAGATGAAACAAAGTCGCCCACCTCTTCTTCCTCTGCAGCAGAGAGAGGCCACAGGGTAAAGAGGGATTGTGAAGGTTCCTCGTTTCTTAGATATGCAGAGCAGCTTATCTATCCCATGGATGAGTGTGAGAGTGTCTGTGTGTGTTGTGCCTCTGGTTGCGTTTGTGCTTTCTATTTATGATCTTAAAATGTAACACTACATGTTTGAAGTTCATATTTGCTTGAGAAGGCAACGTTCCACCTCCACCGTCTCACTGTCTTTGTCTGCCCCCGTGTGGCCATCTCCATGTACTGCAACCTCTCTAAAAACACAATCGACCTCAGCTGCATTAACTGTTCTACTAATGACTGTTTGCTTTTACGAACCCTTTTTTAGTCATGTGTAATGAATGATGAATTTTGTTCTGTGTGTTGACCTGCTCTCTACAGGATGAATTTGCACTAGAAAGCTGCATTATACTACTGAAAACTTTGGGCACTCTGGGACAGGAGAGCTGTGAACTTTTGGGCATTAGAGGTCATCTTTGTGCGTTCAAAGCTGATGTAACAAATTCACCCCAACACTGGAACAAGAATGACTAAGATTCATATTTAAAATATGTATAATCACAAAACAAAACGGTTATTTATAGCGATGTAACATCGGACTCTTGAGCACGTGAGCTCTGCATCACAGCCAAACTTTCCTGCTTTTGCTGAAGATCTATTTTCCGAAACATCTGGACAACTTGAGGCTTTAAGGTACGAATGGGCTCAGAATGGCACTGAGGACAGCAGTGGACTCTGTGCAACTTTTATGCACTAGAAGAGATTACCTGAGACTTTTGTTTTTGCTCAATCCTACTCAAATTTCTAATTTTTCAAGTAGTTTTTTTGTATTGTTTAACTTTTTCTGAAAGTTTAAAACACTAATAACTATTTATTTTTGATCAAGTTACAGGAGATCTCCTATATCTCATAATAGTGCTGCACAATAAGACAGATACTGTAGTTTTTTAAGTGAACTGCGGAAGGTTTCAGCAATAAGTAGCATTATTAATCATCTCATCTAATATGGTACTGAGTTTTTACATGAAAACAGCACTTTTTGTTGGTAGATTTGTTGTAAGTTATTGTGCGTGACTGTTATTATCACAATAATAATGTGCAAGATTTTGTTTAGTTACTGAGTTATCGTATGAAACAACGTAGCCTTTTATAAATAAGTTTACTGTTCAAATATCTGAATGTAAAAAGAAAGATAATAATAATGATCATCTTTTGATTTCAATGTTAGCATCCAAATCCAATGAAGTGTTTGATTACTGCAAAAATGTGTAATTATATTTGTTTTTCAAAATAAAACATGTCTGTTGAATTAACTTGTTCAAATTTTTTTGTGAGGTGCAGGATACAACTGGAATCAATTCATAGTCTTCATGAAGCAAAATATTTGTATAAAAACTGTGTGGCCTATTATTTATTCATATTTCTTTTCAAGATCTGCAAGGCAACCATAGTTCAAATTACGGAGAACACCATGTCTCACCATCCAGACTTTGAATGGCATCTGAACACTGATGTATCAGAAACTATTAGAGAATGTCAACTCTGCGTTTTACACAACTGATCACATAGTGACAGCAGAAACTAGGGAGAAAATTTCTACTACTTTTCGATAATTTTGTCTTTTATAAATCTAAACAAAAATTTGGCATGTGGGGTTCCTCATGGTGCCGTTGTAAGACCACTTCAATGCAATATCGACATGCTCCATCTAATTTAGTGGTTTGCAAGCTGTTGCACAAGTGGTTCTTAAAAATGTCTAAAAACAATAAAAAAAAATTTATTTCAGAAGCAGTTCTTTGCTTTTTTGGTGGAAAAATTGCATTGAATGTCCACAACAGAATGCTATAGAAGTACCAGTAATATTTTTATGTGTGTGCGCTTGTGCATGCGTGTGCATTTGTGCGTGTGATTATGGTTAAAAACTGACTGCGCATTTATGGTTTACAACACTTCCTGTGAATATCAACATCCCATTAAGGAAAATGCATGCTTCCTCTTATTTCTAAAATGTTGTGTTGTTCTTTATTTTAAAGTCCAAAACTAGAAGTGAAATTGTAATTAAGACATTACAACAGCTGTCTTACGGGAGAATTTTACAAAAATAAAAAAGAAGGCAGAAATTGATTTTCTTTTTTCTTCTACCTTCAAACTGCAATGTGACATTGCAAGTTCTAAACAAGTTTAATTCCACTTTGGCTTGAAGAGGTTGTGATACAACCCTGCCTGACCTCAAGTTATGTAGTAGTACTACATTGTTCCGCACACCTAAGCTGATGAGAAAAGAAACTTTACACTTCTGTGCAGTCACAGAAACTGTTTGTCTTCATTGTCATGTAGTGGAAAGGTCAGAATATTCTCCAACTACAAAGAATTCATTTTATGGTCCAGAATTTGTGACATTTAACTCACTGGGACTAAAACCTGCACAGCATGAATGCAGGTGCTCAGATTTCAGCCTGCTGCATTGGCACAAAAATGACACACATGAATTTGGGATATTATTTTTTGACAATAATAATACAATCACATCAGTCTTTAACTCATTGTGTCCACGGGGAAAAAAAATAGATAGCCTATGTTTTTTTTTTTTTTTTTTTTTTTTTTTGTGCAGTAATAAGAGGCAGATAGATTACAGATTATGTTAATAATCTATACGTTTTTCAGTTCACTTCTGGAACTAAAAAACAGGTGATGTCCAGAAATGTTTGGATTGAAAACATTATTTTATTCACATCTATTTATTTGCTCAGTTTCAATTATCATGTCTTGTCATATTATTATATCATTATTCCTGTGATGTATTTTATATCCAACAAGTTTTTCTTAACTTCTTTCTTCATTTTTTTCCCCCCAATGATGCTCTTTAAATCTCCTTAAGAATCCATCAAAAGCGTGCCTTTCCGTAATTCCCTTACAGGTAAGATGAATACAAACCTTTGACTATATTTTGAATATTTTAATAATACGATAAACAGTTCCACATAATAAATCTTGCAATTTTCTCCTGTTGTATTAATTTAATGCCAGTTACAAGCAACGATAAATTACTTACTTTGCAATTTAGTTTTCCAAAGTCAGATATTTAAGAACATGAACTTAAATGTGTGCGCACTTGTCAGATGTAACAGGATGATTCAAAGGAACTACTCGGTGTGAAAAGCACGTGGAATAATCAGGCGCACGTATCAAACCGAGAAACTGAAGAAAACATTTCTTTTTAAGTCTGCGATGATCCGATGAGGTAAGGAAACTGTGTTCTCACACTTCACAACTGAAGGTAACCATAAAGTGCTATTTCAGTCTTTCGGCGTCCAAAGCAACACCCGTGTCCGGCTGCTGTCATCAAATCCCCACTTGTTGTGACTGTTTTTCCGCTGGTCTCTCGAGCTTATCGCGTTGGCCGCCCTTTCCCGGGCCCGGAGACCCCGCCGGGCAGCTGGAGGCGCCTCTGTCCGCGTCGCCGCTCCCTTTCTGGGACGCCTGGTCGACGCAGCCCTCGGAGCCCTCGGAGCTGTGCGTCCTCAAGTGCTTGCTGAGGTGGTCGGAGCGCATGAAGCGCTTCTGGCACATGGGGCACTCGAAGCGCTTCTCGCCGGTGTGCGTGCGCACGTGGCGCTGGAGCTCGTCCGAGCGCGTGAAGCGTTTCCCGCAGAAGAGCCAGTTGCAGACGAACGGCCGCTCCCCGGTGTGCCAGCGCAGGTGCGCCTTCAGGTGGGAGGTTTTGCCGTAAACTTTCCCGCAGCCCGGGATGTGACAGCTGTGCACGCCCCTCCGCCGTGGACTCGAGCCCCCCTGACCGAGGCGCTCTGCCTCCTGACAGTTTGGACAGTCGCAGGTAGCTCTGCCTGCGTATTTGCGCGACGAGGCCCGGGAGGGGCTGGGCAGGGGAACAGCAGGGGTCCCCGTCGGAGGAGGAGGAACAGGAGGAGGTGGTGCGCTCGTAGGCTCCGTGTAAGCAGGTGGCCGGAAGCCGTCAAACATGTGCTGCGCGCCGGGGATCAGGTGCTGAGACGCGCCGGTGCTGAAGGCGGGGCTGTAGTCGTTACCGTAGCCGCTCAAGGCGCATGATAACCCGGCTGAGTTCTGCGAGTCCACCCAGCTGGCGCCCATGTCCCACAATACCGCGGGCCCGTTGCCGACTTCTCCAGCTGGCTTTATCCAGGAATCGTAAGAGTGCATCCTCTGGTAAATCCCCGCTATGCCTTCCACCGAGGGGGGGAATTTCGGCATGAACACCGGGCGCTGAGCGGACGCGGAGTCCGAAGTGTCGTAATCATAGGACGACACGGCGCTGTGGTACAGAGAAAAATCACTCCCTGAAGAAGAGCCTGGAAGTGTCACCGAGAAGGCGCTGGAGGCCTCCGGTGTCAGTCCTGGACCATTATTCCTGGAGATCCCAGAGGAAACCGCGACCGCGCCGCCGCCGGCCTGGAAAGTCTTTCTCCAGGGATGAAACCCTTTGGCGAGTCCCGGGACCCCATCTGACACAGCGGGGGAGCAGGAAGGGGTCGGCTCCCCGATTCTACTGCAGGTGGCGGCCAGCATGGCCAGCGGGGTGCTGCCCAGCCGCACCCCGCTGGCCATGCAACAACAAAAAACCTTTATGGTTAAAGTCTGACTGCCTGAAAATGTAAACAGTTTTTTTTTTAACTGCAACAGGTTAAAGTGAGTTTTGACATTGAAAGTTGGCCAGGTTTGCATACATGTTTCCTAACACTGATTGATATTTTAAAAAAATCACAAAGTTACACCAAGCAATATTGACTAAACGCTCCATAAAATATTTAGAAAAAAAAGTTTTTTTTTTCTGCAAACACCGAACTTACGCCTAACAGCACAGCCATAAACTGAGCGGTGATGCTTCCTCTGACGGGGATCAGTGTGTTTGTCTCTGAGGATGTGTGTGTGAGTGAGTGAGTGAATGTGTGTGTGTGTGTGTGTGTGTGTGTGTGTGTGCCCTGACTGGATCCAATCAGTCTGAGGTTTCGTCTCCGTTTCCTTTACCAGTTGTAGATCCTTTGCGCCTTTGAAGTGCAGTCGGAAACTCCCGGGCCAATCGGAGAGCAGCGCGAGCCGTCTCCGAACCGCGCGCTTAAACAGGCTCGACGTCATCAAAATAAATAAATAAATAAATAAATAAATAAATAAATAAGTCCGGAAAAGTCAGCTGTCTCTCGCGAGGCGATTTCACTTCAGAGGCTTTTGAAAAGAATCATAGGCATTTGGAGACAAAAAAAAAAAAAAAAGCCCAGAGCACTAAGCTTGAAGACAGTGTTTATGAACATACATTTATGTTTATTATTTATTTATTATTTTTGTTTTGACATGTGTATAAATTTTCCATAAAAGATATCAGATTAGAAAAAAATAAATAAATAAACAGGACAGTGTGCATCTTAATTTCCCTGCAGGGTTTATAAAGCAATTTTGAAATGAAATGAATTAATGTCAAAAATAGAGGGGAAAAAATGGAGATTCCATCAATAATGAAATGCATGCAATGATGCAATTTACCACAAAGTGCTAAACTGAATTTGTTCAGCACTTTGTGGTTTATTGCTAATTAATTTAACTGAGTGAAAACTGAATGCCAAACAATCATTCTGAGAATAAATGTACAATTTACTAGTAAAACAAAGCAGGACGAGTTTTGTGAATCGTGAACCTTCACAATATTAGCTAAGCTTGTAGAAGCTGCAAGCTATATGAAAAGTTTTGCTTTCATCTTCCCTCAGGTAGGAAAGATGACAGTGTTTGGTTGATCACATCTGATTGGTTGATCAGATTTTGAGGCTCATAAAGCTGTATGGCATTAAATGCCATTTACGGAAAATGTAATATTTTATCAGCATTCTTTAAACTCAAAGTTAAGAAATTTAAATGATCCCTGTAGATAATATACCTCTGTTATTGATGATATTACTTCCCGTGATATTTGCTTTCATTTGAATCAGATTTTATGTGACGTTAAAGGTGGGAAAAGTGTTTGAAGGTTTTTAATGTGTATTCTTTTCTTGAATAAAAACAGCCTGGTGTCCATACAGGTCTGTAAACCTTTGAAATGCATTATGTACATCTGTATGTTTTAAGACACGTTCTAGAATCTTAAATAACTTTTGTGTGTGTTTTCCCCAGAAGGCTGGCTTTGTCGGAGAACGCTAAAACCTTTAGGCTTTTTTTTTTCGGATGTGAGGCCATGCAGAAGAAGAGGCTGATAAATGAGAGGCTGTGTCCATCCTGTCCCTGGGGCGTTTCCAGCCTGCCCCGGGGGAGGGAAGGGAGGACACCACCACTACCTCCGCAATTCCATCTCTTTTAACGCCAAACAAATGTCTTTTAAACTACAACCCTTCCTAAAGCACAACTAGTTTGAGGATTTAATCTGACCTCTCGAGTGTGAATGAGTAAATGGGAAATCCCGTTCTTGAACAGAGCTAAAATTGAGCCCCAAAAACCCTGGGAAATACCCAAAAGGACGTCCATCTTCATAACAAATGAGCGAGAAGCACAAAGGTGGGAAATTTCATTTGAATTTCTAATTAAAGAAAGAAACAGTATTAAACTCGCTGTTTGATATGTTCTTTTCTTTCCATTCCTCTTATTTCTTTTCTTGTATGATCAGCCTGAGTGAAGTCAGCTGGTCTCATATACCGCAAATAAGTCAATTACTGAATATCTAAAGTACCAAACCATCCCATGACCAGGAGTGTTGTAGAGTCAAAGAGTAAATATGAAGAATATTAAACAATTGTCAAAAAATTGTAAAAATATTCAACAAATGATAATACAATTTTGCAGCTATGTCGAAGCAATAATGCTACTGTAAAGGTGTCTTCTTTTTTTCTTTGCCACCAAGGAGGCAGAATGGGGCTCAGATGACGACCATTGATTCAGAACAGAATCGGGCCTGTTTGAGTTCACCGTAAAGCCACAAAAGCAACGCTAGAACTTGCCGGACCCAGCGGGATCTGGTCGGACACTCCCTCCAGCATGTCGGCCCACCTGCCGGTCTTGGCTGCTCTCTTTACCCTAATATTCGTCGAGCACACGTGCATATTTACCGGATTTGTCAAAAGAAAACAGCTTAAGTGCTCGGCTTGTCAACACCAGCAGAGTCACAACACGTACTGATGGTTTGCTCCATGCTGCAGAACCAAGGAACCCAAGACCCAGTCCAGGACTTGCCTGTTGGTGACCCGGGCAGCAGAGCGGTGTTTATACACCACATCCTATCTGAGTGTTATTTCTTACAATATCTGTCTGTTTGTGACCACAAAATGTGCCCATCTTCTGCAAATTTTAAGAGGAAGTTCACTGGGACTTCCTTCATGGCACTGTCAACACATGACAGAACAACAAGAGCAAAGTGGTGAAATTTTAGAGAACCACTCGGACTTACACAAAAAGTTATAATCCTTAAAAAAGAGAGGGCTTAGACATTTTAAAAGCAGTGTAAAGTTGCATGACGCACTAAGCCGCGTCTTCGCAGGTGTTTCCATAACATTCTGAACATTTACTGCAGATTTTACAATCTAGCTATCAGAACCCAACAGCTGAAAATGTGAAATTGAAAAGAAGAGATTTTGAAAAAAATATTTCAAAGTAATTTCAACAAGGTCCATTATCCTGACAAAATGACTGGCGTCTGCTGTCCTTCGCAGCCTGAGGCACGGCTGTGTGCACAGGTGGACTTTACAGTAGGCCATCCTCCCTTTAACCTGATCGCTATCCAACAGCTGTCCCTCTCTTTTAGAGGCATTCTTTTCCCACACTGAAAGTGTGTGTGAGAGCGTGCATGTGTGCGCTTAAAGGGCACCCAATGAAACCCTGTCCAAAGCCTCAACCTGTTCCTTTTGCCGATGATAATGACCACATTATCACGCGCCATCGAACGTCGACAAAAAAAGATTGTTGGGAGCTTTCCAATCACTTTGTGGGCGCTGAGACAGAAAGAACAGAGAGAAAAGAGTGAAATAAAGATCTGGCACTTCTCAGGGAGAGGGGTGGATGAAGTATTTTATTTCCTCTTGCTGCCCCCCCCCCCAGCCCACCCTACTGTCCCAGTCCCTTGGGGTGCTATCGTGATCGGCTGTCCCGCTGAGACAATTAGCAGGAGAATTAGAAGAGTCAAAAGACAATCTGCTAAGACAATCTGCTCAACCGGACATAAAAATATTCAGGGTGGCCAGGTGTTTGGCCAATCAGTCCATGTTTGAGAAAGAACAAAAGAAAGAGGGCTGTACAGTGTCTTGCAGAAGTATTCATACCCTGTTTCCATGTTGTCACATTAGAAACCCGACCTCGGTATTTTGTGTTGGCATTTTATGTCCGACACCAACGCGCAGCAGCGAATCAAAGTTCGAAATGTGAGGCATTCATTCTCCTTTCCTCCAACGCTCCTAATCACAGTCCAGGGGAACCGGTTTGTTTTCAGAAGTTGGCTGAAAGTTAAAAAAAAGTTCAGCCGTCTGAGCGGCTCGGAGGTTCGTTGGAGAAAATTAGAGGCCAAACGGCATCATGAAGACAGAGGAACACAGCTGAGGGGTCAGGAGTCAAGTTGTTTAGAAGCAGGCTTAGCTCACAGCTTTGGACATGTGGTCTGCTCTGCAGTCCTAAAATGCCACAACTGTAAACCTCCTGAGACAATGCCTTCGACCTAAACTGACGGGCCAGGCAATAAAGACATTAATCACTGAAGCACACAAAAGACCCAGGCTAACTCTGCAGAGATCCACAGCTCGGTTCTGTGAATGGAGAAATAAATAAATAGAACAACAGTCACAAAATGAACAGTTTTCAGACAGCAAATAAGTAGTAAAAAGCGGCTGTTGTCAGATGATGTTTGATATTTAACTTCATGGCCTGTTTACAATACCTTACATGTTTCAGAAGACATGTAGCTCTGGTAGAAGCTGTGGGGATGCTTCTCTTCAGGGAAGCTGGTCAACATTGACAGAGAAATATATCTAAACACGAGACAATCTTAGAAGAAAATCTAAATGAGTTGGTCAGGAAGGTCAAAAATTGCAGCAAATTTAGAGCCTGGTATGTCAATTCCGAATGGCCCAGTCAAAGTCCAGACCTAAAATAGGAATTGTGGCAAGACTGGAACATTGCTCTTAACGGATGCTTTCCACTGATGAATTACTGGAAGACGTTTCCAGTTGCTTGGAGAAAACCACCTGAAAACATGCCTGCTAGGGTAACCGGGCACTTTTGATTGCAGCTGCTTATCTTTTCTGTCTATGTTGCCCCGTGTAGGAACGAGGAACATGTTCAGAGTTTAAACTACAGCTGACCTCGTGGCTACTTGAGTGAGGCACCATTCCTCCCATGACTCCACAAGGAGCAAGAATATATAGGTTATTTTACAAAGACAAACATTTCAACCTCTGTTTGCAGAGGAATGAAGAACTGCATCTGTAATCATAGCAAAAATCAGACAGACAGACTGAACACAAACGCTCTGCATAAATTCTCTCCACTTTGCAGGAACGCAACTCTCTTTGTAGGCATCGCATTAAAACATGACGAAATGCTGAAAAACTTCCAGGAGTCTGAACAGAATCCGTTCAGACCTCTTGTGACGACCATTGGGTGTGAAAACAAGTTTTAAGAGGTGCTTCCTGTTTATCTAATTTGTCTTTTCATTCCCATAAACTTGTAACCCTTAAAACAAATTGATCTGGTTTAAGAGTTGAGGGAAGTCATCCAGG